ACAGATTTTAATTTTCAGTCCTCATCCATTTGGGGGAACTAGACGCAGGCAAACAGACTCTAGCCCAAAGCCTAGCAACCTGTAGTTTAAACAGCCAATGCATATGAGTCCCGGGACGGGGGCCTGGACCTGTTCACACATGAATAAAGAAGATTAAGATTTCCTTTCAAAGACGTGAAACCTTTTTGACAGCCAGTGTCAACAGCACTGTCTGCCTTCAATGTGAACCAGTCTTCCAGCACAGATTCCCACAGGGAGGTCCTGCTGATTAGCATGCCCGACACCACCATTCCGTGTCGGTATTTAATTGAAGAATAAGGCTGTAAAGTTTTGCAAACTCTGACTTATCCACAAAGAAAGGATAACTTACAGGAATTGTTGAAAGAAAATACCAGTGAACATGAACACCTACAGAGAGCATTTAAAAAGTGGAAGAACCGAGCAGGGGAATGAGGAACAACAGTGATTTCTATTATCTAATTGCAGAGAAGTTAACAAAAGTTTTCTCGTCAAAATACATGTTTTGAAGTCATAAAAAAATCAGCTCCTACTCTTAGGGGGAAAAATGGTATAACTTTCTTCTCAAATCTTTTAAAGTGTGTTAAAGAATAAGCCTTTATTCTGAAGACAAATATGAATTGGCAAATAAATACTATTTGCCTTTGCAGTTTAGGGGGGAATCTTTATTCATAAATATTCAAAAAAATTTAAATATGACTTCTTTGCACATGAGCACTTGATAATGTTAAATGAAATGGACTAGGCCTCCATTAAATAGCAAGTTCTGTATCATAATGCATGTTCTTAGGATGAGCCAAAAGAAGGGAAAAAGTTATGTCTACAAATGCCAGCCTCACCAGTTTAATTATCTCACTTCAATTACAAGTTCAAACACTTACACGAGTTAAAATACAGACCATTTCTGCTTTGAAATGATATGCAACTATTAAATTACATGTACTGAATCATTTTGGGATGAGTTAGAATAGCTATTTACAAGAACATAGCTGTTTTTTATTATGTGACAAATGTTTACGCAATTTGATGTCAACTGTTTATTCTTCAAGTCTGGATAAGAATGTGAAGCAAAATGTGCAACCCACATATATAGATGCCGTGTTTCCTCACCATTGACACATACACCTTGAGTTGCTTTTCCAGTGATGGTTAAAGGTTTGCACTGATCTATCCATTCGTATTCATTTACTAAATGTTTATTTGTTGGGCACGTTCTTATGCCAGGGATTTGGGCAGAGGGTGGGAATGGAGGCTGTGCTGTCCTGGAGCCAGCTCCTGCAGGATTGCAGAGTCAACTATGCATGTCTCTTCCCAGCTCTAGCTGCGTTCAGTGTCATCACAGCTACCAGGATCATCCACTGGTAACTTGAAATCAGATATGGTGGGAGTATTTACACCACAGAAATCATCTACTACTATAAAGCAGGTTGTTAAACATTTATTAGCATCTCACTGGATAGAAAGGTGAGTGAAAAAGAAGGTTTCTGCCTTCTTTGGTCCTATGGCCAGGTGTTGCCTCTTCAACTTTGCAAATTAGTGTATTCAGAAACAGTGGTGAATTTGTGGCAATAGAGCAGGAAGAAACTACAGAGAGATTGAATCTGAAGTTTTTAATCTCTGGGACTTGGGCAGAGTTGGTACAAGGCCAGACTGTCTGTAAATAAGAATCAGAGCTCGATAAGATGGTAGGAACTCGGGATCACATCAAGGTTTGGATTTCTCAAGACCAGGATGAAGCTTAAGCCAGAGTGAATTCTCAAGTAGGAGACAACCATGGGGAAAGAGAAAGGACACCAGGTCTGAACTATCCAAGATAAGGTCGCCTTGAAAAGCTAAGTGTTTAAGCCTGTCTTAGGTCAATGCTCTCTGATCATTTTCATGTCTAACATACTTTGGCTGCCAGTTAACTAACTGATATTCTTTTCCTCATGGAAAGGGGTGCTCTAGAGCAGTGGATCTCAAACCTTACCATGTAAGTCTTGTTATCAATAAAGTACAGATGGCAAGGGCTTGGCCCCAGAGTCTTTGATTTAGTAGGTCTGGAGTGGGGCCCAGGGAATTTGTATTTCTAACAAGCTATTAGGTAACTATGACGCCCTATTTAAGAGATGACACTTTGAGAACCTCTGCTCTAGGATTGGATCAAACATCTCAACTTCACTTATTTCAGAAAAGCAATTACTTTTGCAACACATGGCATCATAACTATTTTTCATTTACGCATCAATGTCTGTAAAAATGCTCCTCAGCTACATGGGAACATAAGAAATAGTTAACTGTTTCTTATAAGATCCTTCATCATTACCATTTGGTCTTTGTGGGGAGATGCTATTTTGGGATACATCTGCACAATTCTTTGAACTTGACAGCCTCAGATAATTGCCTAGAACAAATAAATGCTTTTGTGCTATATAAAATATTTTATATACAAACACAAAATATACACACAAAATACTTAATTTCAAGAACAGCCTTCACAAACTACATTCTTGTGCCTAAGTACTGCTGTTATTGCCTAGAAAAAGGGAACCACATACACATTCAACAAATCAGCAATCACTTTCTTCAGTTAGCTTCCCAGAGTTGTTTTTCTTATTTTGTTTTGGTTTTTGTTTTTTTTTTAGAGACAAGGTCTTGCTCTGTCACCCAGGCTGAAATGCAGTGCCATCAGAGCATAGTTAAGTTACTGCAGGCTTGAACTCCTGGGCTCAAGCAGTACTCCTGTCTCAGCCTCCTGAGTGGCTGGGGCTTTATTTTTTTTTTCATTGTTGATAGAGATGGGGCCTCACTATGTTGCCTAGCCTGGTCTTGAACCCAGAGCTGTATTTTTATGCCAGCCATGGAAACATAATAGCAATCAGCTGTAGTCATAGTCACTGCAACATAGATCATTAAAAAAGTATATTGACAACTAAATAATTAGGAAATACTCATTTTATGACCTGGAAAGTGTGATTTAACATGATTATGCAGAAAGACAAACAGGTTAACCTCTACTAACATGCTTTTACACCTTTCCACACCTCACTTCTCACTGAGTTCTAGCCAGTTCAGCTCAGTAGTCACAGAATTGGGTCTCAGACAAGGGAGACCTCATTTATAATAAGGGACTGTTTGTGTTGTTTCAATTAAGTAGCTATCACTAGGGCCCTATCATCAAAATAGCAGCCCCATGGCCTATCATTCCACCATTACAAATGATTATTTTGGAGTTTCAAGATGCATTCATCTTAGAAGTTGTCTCCACCTTTAGATGTGAATGCCTTCTGGGAATTCTCAGCTTGAAGTTGGATATTAGCTCAAAGGCAAACATAACCTGCCTCACAAAGCTGGCACTTCCTGTACAGACATAAAGTCTTTACATCTCTATCAATTTGTGCCAAGGAATAACTCATGATTAACCACAATTCTTTCTAGAAGTAAATACATTTTAAGTTTTTTGCAAAAAAGAAAAAAAACAGTCATATATAATACTAAAAAAGAAATCTGACATTTTTGCTGATCTGATTTTTTTTAACTCTGAATGTACAAGAAATTATGAAAAAAATTAGCAAGTAAACTGAACAAAAAAAGAAGAGGGAACACTATTAACTAGAAATAAATAAGGCCAGAGAAGGATAACTGAGATTGCAATAATCAACAATGACAGCATCAAAGAAGTGCCTCTTAAGTTAGACTGTATACAGTATTGATGCAGAATCTTTATAAATGTCTGTGTAACAGATGCTGCTTGAGAAATATTTAGAGTCCGAACCTGGTGTGCTATTCTACACATATTTTGCTGCATTCACTATCAGCATAAAATACATGATAAAATATTTTACAGCCTCACTTTTACTGGGATTCATTTTAATTTAGGTTAACTTGAGAAAATTAAAACAAGCAGCTATTTATGTTATGAACATGTTGTATAGAATTTCATGAATGAAATTTTAATTGATAACACATTTTTCATCCAATTCATGTCATTTCATATGTTTCACAAATAGAAGTCAACTCATATTCTAATTTACTGAAATAAATATGTCTAGACACTGAAAGATTATAAGGAAACATACAAAGATAAGTATAGCAGATACACAAACACTCTGAAATTGATTCTATTCTCTCAGATTTCAGTTATTTATAGGAGCTCATTTTCAGGCTGAAGAGTGGGATCTGGTAGCAGTCAGGGACTTGTCATTTTAAAACATAATTCCTATCACAAATAAAAGCCCTTTTTATCCATTTCAAAAATTTGTTCTAGTGAATTAAATCAACTTAGAGAGCCATGGGTATTGTTCCACAATTCGCATAACCTTATAAAACATGACTTCTTCAATGTGGTTCATGAATGGCCTCTCTCTTATGGTTCTGGGAGAAGTCATAAAATCAGAAGCAAGGCAAGTGGTTTGTTCCCCCTCAAAGGTGAGGCTCACATGGCTAAAACACCTCGGTTTTCACTTTGGAGATTTTCTTTTTCTCTAGATAACATATTGGTTCTTTCCGCACAATCTGGGAGCTCTATATCTTAAGCTCTGTCTCCTTCCTTATCTGCACTTGGGGTAGTGTGGGGAATGGTAGTGAAGTGGAGGAGGGGGGTGTATGTGTAAATGATCTACTCCAGATTGCTGAAGAGAGAGCTAATTGCTCAACTTTCAGAAATTTTGCAAGTTGGCTCTTAAAGACAGCCATTTCAAAAGTTGAATTATAAAAACATAAAATTAAATGAATTATATATTAAAAAGTAAATGGATTATAAATTAGTAAAAGTAAAATGAATTATATATTTATTATATAAAATGAATTACATACTAAAGATAACAAACCCACAAAACATCACTTTCTATTTAGTTTTTTTCATTTTTCTGTTGTCTGTGCATTAGGTTCTAGGGTACCATTCCAGCTTTTGAAGCTGAAATGAGACTATTTTCTCTAAGTTAGGTGATTATTGGTGATTTCTTTCTTACACTGCATTTATTCCTTTTCCTTCTGATTTTTAGGGGTGTCATCTTTACCCTCCATCACAAAATATGTATTTTAAGAAAAAATTTCTTAGCTTTAAATGAATTGATAAGCAGGACAAGAAGAAAGCCAAGGTCTTAATTTTCAAGATTCAAAGTGTTTTTTTCTTTCTCTTCCAAGTCCCAGCAGTAGAAGCATTTGAGTTCTGCAGAAATTACTAAAGTGGTTCAAATGTGGGCAGTCAGGATACTCAGCCCACCATACTTAACCCAAAGGCTAAATCTCAGTCTGGCTGAGAGGTAGAGCACTCAGAGCTAAAACTTTCAGGAATTTTCAGAACCTCATATCAATGCTTCTTTGTTTTACCTCCTGTTGAATTATATCCTCATCTGCTTCAGTGCCCATAAGTATACAACACTGCAAATTGTATTTAACTTCATTTGCAATTAATTTAATGCGTTTCGTATGCAACGTTTCTGTTAGGAAATAGTATTAGTCTCTCCTCAAACTAAAATTCATTGCAAAAAGGTAATTCACTCAAGAAAAATAATGATGATTTTCTTCAAACACCTTTGATGTCATTCAACAATCATATCCAATGGGTAAAATTTAGAGTTCGACTTTTAGCTTGCATTTCTTCCTAACCAAACATCTCAAGTTCAAAACATAAAGCAGATTGCTTTGTGCAGTTGTTATTACTGCCACATCAATGGTCACCTACACTTCCTGAGCCCCATATAGAACTCTCAGAGAAGCATTGTGTATTTGTCAATATCCTGGAGTTTCGAAACTCCCAAGTGTTGCCACCATTTGACCTGAAATTTCCTCTCTTCTCAGATTCCTGCCTCTAAACACAAAACAAACAAACCTTTAAGCTTAGCCCATGTGTGAATTTTTAGGGTCATTTGTTTCATATCCAAAAATACTTTAAGTCTCTTTGCTAAATTTTGATTTACCCAAAGCCAGTAGCCTGAACTCAACTTTAGCAGTCCCAGGGCTCAGTAGATTTGCCTTATAGACTCTGTAATTGGATATTTATATTCCATGCATTTCTTCTTTCAGAGCATAGCAGAAGTATAGGATAATACCTTAGTCGAATATTGGCCTTAAAATAGCTGTTCAATTGCAGTACTCATAGGAACCTGAAACTATTCACATTCAGCCGACATTTCCATTAGGTAGGATGCTGCCTGCTAATTCACATTTGTCTGGGATTGCTGCTCAGAGTTCGGATTTAATTTTGATAATATAAACTCTATCATTTAATAAATAATAAGCAGCAAAAATTAAAACAATTACAATTGGGCATTTTGAATGAAAAAAACAGCATGCTATATTAAGTTTTGGGGTCCCTCAATATCTTAGCCTATGTTGCCTTTGGAAAGAAGCAATCCTTAGATAAAAAATAGAATAAAGTTTCTCTTCTTTTCATTACTGCATAAAACTGAGACAGGTATTGTCATTCTTGCCACTGACTCAGTGACATGTCAGAAACAGTGAAGTCTTAAATATATTCTTCAAAATTTCAGCTGCCTATATATAGCATAAAATTAATTGCATTTAGAAAATAAAGTTCTGTTCCCTTAGCAATTTTCAAGTAGATCTTAAATGTTCTCAACACAAAAAGATTAGTATGTGGGGTGATATATATTATAATTAGCTTGATTTAATCATTTTGCAATGTATACCTTCAATTATACCTTAATAAAGCTGAAAAAATTAATTAACTTAAAATTTTAAAATAAAAAAAGGTCAAAGTTTTGACTACTATCATATTTGAATAACTTGTGCATTGCTTTATTTAGGCAAATGATCAACATTTTACTCATTCAACAAATATAAACAGAAGCCAACATGTGAAAGATATTGTGAAATATATCAAATAGGATCAGAAGCTACAAAGGAAGCTTGTATTTATAGCACCTGTTTAAATATCTCAACTAGTGCTCTCTAATTCAGTTTCCTTAGAAAACTACATATGATCTTCTGAAACTATGTGTGGTAAACGTCAAATATAAATTAACTAAAACTTTTAGAATATGGATAAATACTTTTTATTCATGTTTTGTAGGAAAATTACATTTAAAATGGGTTTTTTAATCATCTGAAAGTAGAATTCTGGAAAAAAGAAGGCAGTTGAGAAATTCGAGACGAGGAATCCCAGTTCTGTGGGCATTCCAGATAGAGCCAACCACCCTGAGTTTGAGTTTTTGATTATCACCACAACCCATCAGGGCACTCCTAGCGCAGCCTCAAAGTCTTCACTCCCTGACTTGGCATAACGCTATAAGAGCTTCCTTCAGAACTGAAAGAACTACATTGGCTTCTTAGAAACTGTGAGCTTTGTCCCATCTACCTGATCTTTATGAAGAAGCTGTTAAAAAACCTTTAATAACTGGCCCAGTCTCTAAGACCCTTCTAAGAATCCTCATGCAAGGTTCCTTTTTTGTTTGTTTGTTTTCAGATGAAGTCTAACTCTGTTGCCCAGGCTGGAGTGCAGTGGCACAATCTCAGGTCACTGCAACCTCTGCCTCCCGGGTTCAAGTGATTCTCCTGCCTCAGCCTCCCGAGTAGCTGGGACTACAGACATGTGCCACCATGCCCAGCTAATTTTTGCATTTTTAGTAGTGATGGGGTCTCGCTAGGTTGACCAGGCTGTTCTCGAGCTCTTGGCCTCAGGTATAACACAGAGTAAACTCAAATTGAAAAATCTCTGATTTTAAAAAGGGCTAACATTGTAACACAAATTCGCATTAATAATAATAACAAAGAATCCTTTATAGTTCAATGTGGAAACACTGGAAGAGATAACAGGAGTACTGCAGCAATCTAAAAAGTCTGATGATACTCTTCAGAGATTACACAATATTTTCCAATTCAAAATAGCCACCCTATTTTGTTGGGGTATTTATTTGAACAAGTTTCAATAGCCCTGTCTTCAAAAACACTAAAATTATAAGCATTATATTCCAATTATAAAAACATTATGGTGTTACAAACACAAATCCACTAATAACCTTGAAACTTTGCCTGCCATTTATTTTTTTTTTAAAACCCTTATTAATCCATGAACTCAAACATTCAGAGTTTCATGATTATCATGTTTCTGGTAAAATAAAACACCCATACTCTGTTGGCTGATGTGTATCTGTGATTGTTTCACACCTCATTTGACAGAAACATTATGAGGTCTGAGTTGGTATTTGTGGAAAACTCTATATTTTCCTCATGGCAAAGAGCCAACAATAATTTTGTCTACCACTTTTTATGTACTGGTGTCTTTAAAAAACCCTTACCAAAATAATCTCAATGGAAGTCTAATCTTAGATCAATAACAATGAACAGATATTGTCAACAAAATGTGAGAGAGGTAGAGAGACTAAAAATATTAATATAATTTAATATAGGGGCAAGAATTAGGGACAAAGTCAAGATCATGGGGTCATGGCATGTAAAAATAGTAAAATTCTGTAGAAATTGAAGGTTTGATGTCAGAGTCAGAAAAGGACCAGGAAAACAAAAGTAATTCAGTTTTAACAAAATTCTGGCCAAATATCATCAGTAAATAGTCTATTAATAAAATGAGATAATACAGGGCAAAGTTGGCATGAAAATAGATGGGTCAAATTTGGAAAAAAAGAATCTTACAATTAAGACATTTTGTACCTTCACCTGGCAACTGGCAGAGGAGTTCCAAAAGGACAGTATTCAAATATCCATCTCAGTTGGAGCGAATTCTCTTTGACTCTCAAAGGATGTTGTCTTGAGTTCCTGATATAGATAGACCTTGTGAGATATTCTTTCATGAAACTACTCTGATGTTCATGTCTCCAAGCTTGACTAACTTACTCAAAACATTTCTTCTCTTTCTTTACTGAGTCTATTTTCATTTGCTTAGTCCTTCTATTTGAGAGAGCTGGCCTTCTCCAGATGATATGCTGTGACCATCAATCTAAGAGAATGGCTTTTATGAGGTTTGATGCTTAAGAATTTCACAGTCCTAGGATAGAATTTTATGAACACATTGGAAGAACAATTCTGATTTTAAATAGATACATGCAGTGATTTCTCCACTGCCCATTTGGCTTGAAGGAATTCAAGTTTTCTGAAGTGAGGATTTGGTCATTTGGACTGTAGTTGAATCTTCTAAATGGCCTTCTTTTATAGCTAACCCAACATAATGAGCTCACATAATCTCTCAAGATCCAAGAAAATGTAATTTGTTCTTTTTCACTTCCAAGCCAGGCTAAAACATGTTACAGAAATTTTCCCGGAAGATTTTCCCTTACAACTGAAAGATTGACTAATTAGATATCCTCTGCTTTATTAAACTATATAGACATTTTCCAGAAAAAGAAATGATCACTCATTAATCCTGGTTATTCTTCCTCCTTGTTCTCTGCCTCTCTGGTTCCTTAATCTCAGGTTCTTTTCCTGCCTTCCCTGTAGATGGAATTTTAAAGAAATGCATTCTCAGTCTTTGCAGTTAACTTCCCTGTGGGATCTGAATTTGACCATGGCTTTATCTAATACTTACTTGCTCATGACTCTAATGCTTACACCTAGCCAAGTTTTCCCATCAGAACCCTGGAGTCATATATTCAACTGCTCACTAGACAGCTCCATGCAGATGTCTTGCTGGCATCTCAAATTTGAAATGTTCTAAAACGAATTCCTTAACTCCTTCAAACCTATTTCTATATTCCTGTCTCAAAGAATGTCTAATCAGGCATCATAATCTCACATTTGTGTAATGTGATTGCCACTAGTGAGTATTCTGCCTCCCATCTTGAGCTGTTTTGATGGTAATTCATATTCCATGTGGTTTCTATTCATTTACTCAAGAAATGCTAAAAGAACACCAGCTATGTGTTGGTTAGTATTTTAGGCATTGCAGACGCCTCAGTGAGTAATAACAACAGAAAGTCCCCACTCTGATGAAATGCATATTTTAAGACAGTGCACAATAAAATACATGTAGGATATATCACATTCTGATAAGTCCTGAGAAAAACAATAAAGAGAGTACATTAGTTTGCTAGCACTAGCATAATTAAGTACCACAGACTGTTTGGCTTAAACAATAGAAAGCTATTTTGTCACAGTTTTAGAGCCCTTAAGATCAGAATGCCAGCAAGGTTAGTTCTTTCTGAGGCCTTTCTCCTTGGCTTGCCGATAGCTGCCTTCTTCTTGTGTTCCCACAGGCCTTTTTACTGTGTATGTCCCCTTCCTGGTGTCTCTCTTGCAAAAAGGACAGAAGTCCTAATGAATTTGAGTGCCACTCAAATAACCTCATTTAACCTTACTTACTTCTTTAAAGGCTCTGTCTCCAAAATGAAGTCAATTCAAAATGTAAATTTTACAGGGATGCACTTCAGTCCATAATAGAAGGATACAAAGCATGTGAGTCTGCTTCTCAAAATCCTTTAATTACTCCTCATTGACTTCCATAAAAAAATTAAATCTTCTTTCCTTGGAATACAACATTAGCAGACCTATTTGGCTTCTTCCGTGGGTGGTATAGCTTTTGCAATACTAAATAAATTCTGCCATTGTGCTGTTTTCCATGCCTGAAATCTTTTCTTTCTCTTATCTTTCTAGAAAAGTATTTCCATACTCCATGTCTAAGAGGAATCCTCTGCAAAAGCTCTTTCTCCTAGGCCGAATTGGACCTTCTATTATCCAATAGCTCTTGTTATATACCCTTATGATAATACTTAGAAATGTATATTTATATGCTCACTTAAATGTCTATCCCTCCACTGAAATTTCATTTATCTGAAGGTAGGAATGATGCTACTTTTTATTCATAGCATTTTGTAGAGAACTTTGCACATCATATACTTTTTTTGTTTGTTTTAACCTCATCTTGCTTGTGATTATATTAAAATTCCTTAATTAAAAGACAAAAGAATTTTTGAATAAAGCATAAATTACATGTTAAGAAGTCAAATAAGTTAGTTTTGTTGTCCAAAAAGTAGTTTAAACATTTTATTGTGGTTGGACACAGTGGCTTACATCTATAATTCTAGCACTTTTGTAGGCTGAGGCAGGTGGATCACCTGAGGATGGAAATTCAACCTGGAGAACTGACCTGCCTGATCAACATAGAGAAACCCCATCTCTACTAAAAATACAAAATTAGCTGGGCATGGTGGCACATGCCTGTAGTCCCAGCTACTTGGGAAGCTGAGGCAGGAGAATTTCTTGAACTCAGAAGGTGGAGGTTGTGGTGAGCCAAGATTGCACCATTACACTCCAGCCTGGGCAACAAGAGTGAAACTGCATCTCAAAAAACAAACAAACAAACAAACAAACAAACATATTGTAAGTCTTTTTGTAAAACCAAAAAATTAGCAAATTTTATATTCCATGCTGTTTGGGAATAGATATAAAATGTCTGTTTGTCATTTGAGAACAGCTATAGATCTTTATCCATCTATCTTTAGGTATAGATATATATCCAGATATAGATATACATATTGTTAGTTTTCAGATCAGGTAAAAAATATCAGATCCTACAGATATGTATTATATTTCATAATGTTCAAACTTTTCTCAACTGTCATGAAATATAATGTAGAATCTGATTTTATTATTCTACTTGCAAGCCTGTCACAATTTTTCAGATGCTAGAGAAAAACAGGAGACTCTTGGGACAGATGCAAAAGTGATGCAAAAAGGACA